ATGATGTCACCTGCCTGTCATTGCTATGGCTGGAGTTCATCTGCCTATAGCAGGACAGGAGGTGGGACTTCAGAGGGAGGAGCTAAGATATATAAGGGGGAGTGAATGATGTGTGAGTCAGATAGGGACTTGGTTAGGGTCTTGTTAGGGATTTAGGGCATGTCCAAGTTATGAGGTACTGTGTTAGTGAAGGTCTGTGTGAGAGAGTGTATGAGGGGATACTTTATTATATTGATTGCCTCGTTTAGTTAATACAGTGATTTACTATTACTTATGTTGTATCAATAAACAGTCATTTTATTTTTAAAATCCATACAATTGTCTGAGGAGTCAGATATGTGTGTGGTTGGTGGCAGCGTGTAAAGTGTGTATGTAAGAGTGACGTGACACCTCCTTTGTGACGTGAGAGGAGGCTGTCACAGTGTGTTAAAATAATTGAGAAAATTAGGATCCCTCCCCTCATGCTTGATTTTAAAAATACTGTTAATCTGACTGAAGTTGGCTGACCTAGTGGCTAAAATAAATTATATCTCAGCTTCTCTGATACAAAATTGGCTGTATTCTATGCACCTCCACCCTCAACTAAACAGGAACTTTTTGTTTCAATATAGGATGTGGGATGGTAGTGGATGCTGAACATAAAACACAACCTTGTCTGTTTCTAAAGACCTGGGTCAATAAGCATATCTATCTAACGTATATGCCACCCACTCTACCCAAAGGTCTCTGGGTGGCTTACAACAATTTTATGATGTTTATAGAAAGAAAGCATATAAAATGATAGAAAAAAAACAGATTGTTGCCAGGTGAAAAGAATCGTTTCAAGGTTACAAAAACGAGGATACAGATAACCAAACAAGAAAATAAGACTGCTAAATTATAAATTATCCCAAATTAAAGAAATAACCTGCCAGCTGCCTAAGCCAGCTGCCTGGACTTCCCCTGTCAGTTCATGCTTTCCAGCTTCTAGGGCAAAGACAAAAGAAAGTACCCATCTCTAAGCCCTAAATAGAAACTCTATCGCTAATGGTTTGTATGCTGCCTTTGAACATAGCAGGAAGCCTGTATGGCTGTAGCCAGAATGTAGGTCTCTCAGATATATGCCCTGAGGATACAGAGACAGGCAGGAATCTCAGTGACTTCCCAAGTCCTGTGAAAACAGGATGTCCTTTTCTGGAAACAGCAACTTCCTTGATCAGTGGTTCCCAAGCTTTTTTGAGTAGCAGCCCCCTAGTAGCCAAGTAACCTGCAACTTCCCCCCCCAACATGTTTGCATAAAAGAGCATTTTAGAGGGGTAGAGCCATCACTTCTCAGAAAGTAGAAGCTTCTTTCTCCCTCAAAGGGCCTGTTTCTTTTACATACACAAACACACATTGTAGAAGATACCTTGCTCCGAAAAGTCAAGCAACTAATTATTTAACAACGGCTACAATGCTTATAAGGCAACCCACGACCTTCCAGAAGACACTCTGTGACCCTCTTAGGGGTCCCAACCCACAGGTTGGGAACCACTGCCTTAGATTCTTTTTTCCCATTTGGTTCAGAGTAATCAGAGCTCGTTTAATTAATCCAACTAATATTTAAGATTTAATCTCTTCACAGGGGAAGCAGCCATTTTGTATCCTATACCCATGCAGCTCAGGAAGGGAAGGGAATCTACTTAAGTAGCAATTTTAAATTATCTTTGCAGACTACAAAAGGGGCTGAATGTAGGTGGATCATGTTGAGCTTCTGGTTGTTGAATAGGAGCAACCCTTCCAGAAACGTGTCATGGAATGAAAACAGAAAAGGTGCATTTGTTTCTTCAGAAAATCCATTTAGAAATAAAGCATGTGTAAAGTATGTGTAAAGCTGTAGTACAGAGTTGGAGTACCTGTCTGGATCAACATGAGATATGAACAGTGAAAAACACAAGGTACCTAACTTCGCTATATTTTAAACTCTTTTTTAAAAAGATTCTATAGAGAACTAACACCCTAAAGGCACATTTTAATCTGTCATTTCAGAGGACTGCAATTTATAAAGATGGCAGAAGTAGTATAGTTTCAAATCTGTGTCATTATTGTATGTGTTCATTTATAGATCTTTCTCCATCCAACTCTGGGTTTTTTGTTTCTTAAAGAAAAGAATCTGCACAAAACCTCTCTATTTGTAATTCTGTTTTGTCTTAAAATATGCATTTTAAAATGGATTCTGATACTGTACTTCATTCAGACAAAACAGGATCTGACTCCAGGGTGAATAATTGTATTTAGGCATATGCTGTGTTCTTGAAACCAACAGGTTCTTTCTTCCCCTGTGTGCTATTGTGATCTCTACAGTCACCCATGAAAAGCCTCTTAAGTTGGGGCCCTCTGGCAGGCTTAAACAGAAAGGATGGGGTTTTAATTTCTTCTTCCCCATCCCACTCCATGTTTATTTGATTTCAGATGGCACAGAATGCTATCATCAACAACTACAGCTTTTTCTTCATTGAGACCAATGTTAGGCATGTTCTTATGATAATTTATTCAGATAGCTCCTGTCAGGAAGGGATTGTGTTCAAAAACAAAAGAATTTAGCCACGTGTCATATGGATAGGCAAACTAGTCCATGAAATGGACAACAGCACATGTAGTCCCTTCTCATTAACTTTTCCTGAAGTTGTACATAAATAACGTACTTTCTTCTATGCAACCCCAGTCTGATCATTAGGAAGAATGAGAGTGCAATTGCACATCAAAATACTTCTAAATTTGTGTCAGGTTAAGCACGCTTGAAATTGATTTAAAAATATCTCTTACATGGTGGACAGCTGAGCATGCACTTTTTTGGCTGGGAAGTGTGGGTTCTTTCTTCTTTTCTTTTCAGAAAATGAGGTATTTTAAACAGACTTGAGGGGGGTTGTTTATTTTAACTCAATTGTGGACACGATTTAGTTTGACTCCTTTTGGCATATGAGTTTGCCTGTGTCAAAGTAAATTGTATCTGTGGGATTTGTCAAGTACCTGTAATGGAAACCTTACAATCCGGTCTGTTATTTTTTTTTTCCTATCTGTAAAATTGAACTAGTGTAATCCCAGTTTGAAAGAAATAAACAAACGTTAAAAATAACATCAGTGGTGGCAGTGGCGAATGGTTATGAGAAGCAGCTAAGTGTAACAGTGTGTGGGCACTGGGCAAATACTCAGATACAATGAGTTTGTAGCACCAACCCTTGCACTGGCTGCCTCTCATAATCACTCACTGCTATGATTGGCAGTGTTGTTTTTAATATGCTACATCTGAAGGTATGATTGGCAGTGTTGTTTTTAATATGCTACGTACATCTGAAGGTGTTTATCTTATCTCAAATGATCAGATGCAACAATATATCCTACCACATGACCTAAATATTCTAGCTTTCAACATTTTACAAGTTTTATTATTTCTTGGCCTTCATTAATTTACTTTAGTACACCTTCGTTGGTCAGCTTCTTGCTTACCACTATACAAGAGATCAACCATTTCAAATGTTTCTATAGTTGTCTGTCTTTAAGTCCACAATTCATTCCATACAGTTGAAGCAGGAATATAGAGCACCATGGGATCTACATATTCATAGACAATTTTCAGAATGGGTTTTTTCTCCCCATATTTCAAAAGGGCTATACAGCATATTAAGAAAGGGCCACTGTTCTTTCTCTAGGTATTTGAGATGGGTATCTGCTTGTAGACCCAGAGACTGGGAGTTGGATTCCACACTGTGCCTCCTAGGGGTAGACGCAACCTGTGTGGCCTTGGGCAAGCTGTACAGTCCCAGAATTACTTCTAGAAGAAAGCAATGGTAAGCTACTTTTGAGTACAGTACCCTGTACAGTGGAGTCTCTACTTAAGAACGTCTCTACTTAAGAACAATCCAACTTAAGAACAGCTCCATTTGCTAAGTTTGGCTTCTACTTGAGAACAGAAATCCAAGATAAGAACAGGAAAAAAAAACCTTTCCTGCTCTTTTTTTAACCTTAGGTCATCTTAGGTTAAAAAAAAAAATTCTCCCCCTAGTGGTAGAGTACGTATTAACCAGCTTTGCATTAGTTCCTATGGGAACTAATGCTTCAATGTACGAACGCACCTCTACATAACAACAACAAAAAAACCCGCCAGAACGGATTAATTGGTTTTCAGTCCATTCCTGTGGGAAATTTTGCTTCAACTTAAGAACGTTTCAACTTAAGAACACCATTCCAAAACGGATTAAGTTCTTAAGTAGAGGTTCCACTGTAGTTTCTATGGACGGAAAAGAGCAGATATGGATTAAATGGTTTTCAATGCATTCCTATGGGAAATGCAGATTCAACATAAGAACTTTTCAACTTGAGAACCACCTTCCAATACGGATTAAGTTCTCAAGTAGAGACCCCACTGTACCTAGAAAAATTCAAGAAGAAAGCAATGGTAAGCTACTTTTGAGCACCCTGTACCTAGAAAAATTCGCCACAAGTCAAAATCAATTTGACAGCATGTAATTATGATTATTACATGTCTCAAGAGGGCATGCTCCCTTTGGAATCTAACTTTTAGACATTGTAAAACACACTCCACAATTCCTACTACACGCCTGACAAATGTATGTAAAGAATGATTACACAGTGGGACCCAGTGAGTGCACATAGCCTTTACCCATTTGGCAAGTACATTGTAAATTAAGACTTGTAATCTTGATTGGGTGTGTTTCAGTTTTAGAATGACTAGATTCTGAAGAAGTACCAAAACCAGGAATATATCTCAAAAACTCAATTTTTGATACTGTTTGATTTAACATATGTCGTTCTATTGTTTGCATTGAACCCGTGTATAACTTATTGTACTATATTGTCAATAACAGATGCTGGTTTTCTTTGCCCTTTTTATGATAGCAGGGATGTTAGCAAATCTTTGGGCCCAAGTCCCAACTCAGTTTGAGTCTTTGGTACCAAGTCCTGAGTCCCAAGCCCCAAGTCTGAGCGAGCCCCTTTTAAAAACAAGCTTTTATCTCCAGAAAAAAAGGGGAGAGTGGGTGAGTTCCAAGTCATGAATTGAGTCTGAGTCACTTGGGGGGGAGGGGGGAAGAGTTGAGTCCGAGCGAAGTCAGCAGGGTGTCTTAAGTCTGACGACAATGAGTCCTGCAACTCAATTCCCCATCCCTTTTATACAGTAATCAAAAGTCTTGGTCTTTCATCCAGATTGTCTTGCCTGTCCATCAACTGTTCTTCCTCTCTCCCTTCAAGATTGTTGTGTCACTCCTGTTTCAGAGGCCACAGATCTTGGCAGTCTAGTGGATGACCAGCTGTTGCTTCATAAATGTGACTGCCAAAGTATGCAATTTCCATCCTACTAATATCTGCCAGATCTGTCACCTCCTGTTTCCTGAGACTGTAAAGCTCCTTGTCCATGCCCCAATGGTTTCACACCTGGATTACTGTCACAGTCTTTTCGTAGGTCTTCCTTCTTCTTCTCTTCGTCCTCATACCCTGGTACAGAATAGTGAAGGTAAGAGATATTTTAAACTTACGTTACTTCCATACCTCCCATAATTGTAGGGCATTGCATTGGCTGCCTATCAGGTTAAAGACTTATTTAAAATCCTTGTCCTGTCCTGACATTTAAACCCCATGTTCTTCCCATCCTATTTAGCAGAGCTGGTGTTATGGCATATTCCTCTTAAGAAGACTCAGTCCACAGATTCCAGACTTTTTTCAGTCCCTTAGAGTCCTTGAAGTCTGGAATTATGCCACCTTAGTTGGAGGCTTGGAACCATAGGTGTTGGGTGTAGGGAGAGGTCAGTGACTGGAGTAATTTATTTGAACTTTTTAGTGAGTTAGTTAATTCTTTTTGACTATTGCTTATTTTGAGGAGTTTTATCTTGATGTACAGGTTCAAAAAGGGACGTGGTAGCACTGTGGGTTAAACCGTAGAAGCCTCTGTGCTGCAAGGTCGGAAGACCAACAGTCATAAGATCAAATCCACATGATGGAGTGAGCTCCCGTTGCTTGTCCCAGCTCCTACCAACCTAGCAGTTCGAAAGCATGTAGAAATGTGAGTAGATAAATAGGTACCACCATGGTGGCAAGGTAACGGCGTTCCATGTCTAGTTGCACTGGTCACATGACCACAGAAACTGTCTTCGGACAAACCCTGGCTCTAAGGCTTGGAAATGGGGATGAACATTGCTCCCTAGAGTCGGACACAACTGGACTAAATGTCAAAGGAAACCTTTACCTTTACCTTACAGGCTCATACAAACACACACATACACATTATTAAGGTTGTGAATAAATGTTGTTTTATAAGTTTGTATAACAGCAACAACCATGAAAAATCGGAGGCCATGGATTACTGCAAATACAACAGGTAATAGAGGAAGAAAAAAGAAGCCTAAATGACTATATCAGTACAAGAAGAGAAAAATCACTGAAAGCATTGAAAATGGAGAATATTTTGAAAATGGAAACAAAGGCTTAATATAAGAAACAACGATTTAAAAATAAATTAAATAGCTGGAAAAGTGAACCACTACATAGATAACACCTGGGAAATATTGATGAAAAGCATAATCATAATTCAACATGGGCATGGCTAAAACTGGGGACCCTTAAGAAAGAAACCAAAGGCTTGATTTTTGCCGCACAAGAACAAGCAGCCCAAACCAATGTGATGAAAGCTAAGATCCAAGGAATTGGTGCTGACAGCAAATGTTGACTATGCCAAGAAAAAGATGAAACTGTGTCACACCTCATCTGCAAATGTCCAAGACAGCACAACAGTTTACAAAGTTAGAGATGATAAAGTGGCAAAGTTAGTGCACTGGTCATTATACAAAAAATATAAATATAAAACCCATGGAAACATCAGGTAGAAGTGTCAGAAAATGAGGAAGTCAAGATCTTCTGGGATTTCCTGATCCAAAGGGATAGACACTTTGAACATAACATACCAGACATAGTAGTAATGGAATGAAGAAAAGTCTGGATCATTGACATTGCAATTTCAGGGGGTGCCAGAGATAATAATAATAATAATAATAATAATAATAATAATAATAATAATAATAATAATAATAATAATAATAATAATAATAATAATAATAATAATAATAATAATAATAATAATAATAATAATAATAATAATAATAATAATAATAATAATAATAATAATAATAATAATAATAATAATAATAATAATAATAATAATAATAATAATAATAATAATAATAATAATAATAATAATAATAATAATAATAATAATAATAATAATAATAATAATAATAATAATAATAATAATAATAATAATAATAATAATAATAATAATAATAATAATACATGCTGGTTTTGTTCAATAGCAATTAAATTAAACAACAAACAAAATTGTGTTCTTGTGCCACCTCTTTCTCCCTCCCTATCCTTGTTTGGGCATTATAATTTTCAGCCAGAATTTTTCTAGGAGCCATTACAAAAACAGAGGAATAGGAAAGAAAGCTGTTTTTTTAAAAAAATTGGACAACCTCCCCAGCTTCACATAAATTCGAAGAGCTGGCTTAAGAAGCTATAGGTACAGGCTTCAAATAACACAGAGAGCTCTGCAAGTTTAGACCCACTGCTTCTGCCTGGTCTGAATGACATCTTTGGGACTGTGGGGGCTACAGCCGGCGCCCCCGCCCCAACATGCCCTCTTTGGAAGATGTCGCCTTGAATTTCGAGGGGGGAACTTTCCCGCCCCATCCTGAGTTCCACTAACAATATCGTCCCGCGCGCTCGCATTCTACCCCCGGATTAGGACGGTGAACCGCAGAACCAAACCTCCCTCCCTCCCCACCTCTTTTTTTTTCTTTTTTGGTATCCGCCCCTCTCAGAGGAGAAGGAGGCGCTTCTTTCGCTATAGTCACGTGACGACCGCATCCGGGCCTTTTGCCTTCTCTCCCTCTTCCCAACATGGCGGCCTCAGGTGAGTGGTGCTCGGTGGGGCATGGGCCTTTGGCTACCGTCAGGCCGGAGGCGTTCGGCTTGACCTTCTGCCGTCGCCGGGAGGGAGACGGGGCGCCTCCGGGAAGGCGGCTCTTCCGCTTTAAGCAGCTCCAGCTCTCGAGGCCTCCCCTTCCGCGGGCTGAACCCGAGCAGACACGCACCGGGGGGGAAGGGGGGGCGCCACGGCGGAGGGCTGACGGAACCTTCGGCCGGGTTCCAGTGCGCAAGCGCGGCGGCGCGCGCGGTAGGGCGCGGGCGAAGTGGGGAGGGGAAAAAAACCTGGGCGGCGCCCACGTGGGTGCAGCTCTTGCTGACTCCTCACAGTCTGGACACGGAGGGGCGTGGCGTGGCGGAGCACGTCCGGAGGGGAGTTTGCCTGCTCTGCCCGCCGGCCCCCTCCCTCGCACAGAGTGGGCCCGCTTTTCGCCCCCGTTTGTTTTTCTCAGCCGATCTCCCCCCTCCCATAAAAAGGTGGGGGGGCGTTCTTGATTCAAACCTTGTTTGGGCCACGAGGTCACTCTCAGTGGCGCTAGGCAAGATATTTCCCCCTCACCCCCACAGGAGCACTTCCTCCCACAGCAGATTTGTAACCTGAGATTTTAAAAAAGTGACCCACCTTACACAGCTTTTGTCAGGATTGTTGAAGCTTCTGAACGTGACAGCCTCTGAACACTCAGTTACATAAATACTGTTATTCTGTCTCAGTGGACTTGAAAGAGATGGTGGTCAGTCCCTGTTCAGTTCCCAGGGCATGGCCTGTGGTTAGTTTTCATAGGCGATTCTCTTGCTTTACCCACCTCTGTACCATCTTTGAGTAACAGGTTCTTGCTTTCCGCTGAGATGGCCTTCCTATTTAAGTTCTTTCTAAATCCAAGGCGTCTTTCCACTTTGGCTATTAACTGCTACCTTTAGAATATTTGACATGTGAGGTGGAGTACTTTTACTGTGTGTGCAAGATAATTTCCCCAGTCTGTCCCCCTGATTATACATCATAGTCTTGAAAATGTCTATGTGGCTTTCATGTGTGGCAGAAGAGCATTGTACCATGTCAGAAAGCAAGAAATGAAGTATTTTCTGTTATCCTTTAATTAAAAAGTGCTAGTAGATACTGGTGTCTCCTCTATATAACAAACAAGTCATATTTGTTTCTTGTTTGTTATATCAAAATTTGCACACCAGATGTGGGGAATGTTGATAGTAGTTGTAGCTTGTCTCCTTTTATTTGTGTATCCTTGTCCTTCATTGATAGGGTTTTTAACCATATGGTACAATACAATGTTTTGTAGCATTTTTGCTTTAACATAAAATGAAGCTACTTTCCCCTGTTTTAATTGGCATGCAACACATCACCCTCTGTGCAGAAGCTGCTGCTGCAGCTGCTGGGTTGGGATGTGCCCTTTTCTTGTGGTGGGAGAGTTAATTTATTTCTGTTTGGATATTTTGCCAAGCTCCAGGGTCATTTCACAGCAGCATCTTCAGTTAGCGTCTTGGATAATGGGAACTATTTCTGTCCAAAGTATCCTTCCAGTCAAAACTGATGAGTCGTGTGTAAATTACCATGTGACCTTGTAAGGCATCTCTTTGTACCCTCTATCGTTAGCAAGCAGAATTTCTACTTGTGTACTCAAGAAAATGCAACTCCTCCACTGAGAGTACATGTTTTATTCTCTGCTATTTCTAGATCAGTATTCTACAGACTGGATTCCAGGAAACTCCAACTTTCTTTGTCAAGTCTGTAATTGATTCCTCAGTGAGAAGCTCAGTAATAACAGATACATTTTTTTAAATCTGATGTCTATAAATGATAAGGGAAATGTTGACTATATTCTCAACGAACTGAGTGCATTCTCAGTTCATGTGGGGTGACCCTGATGTTAGGTGTTTCAAGAGCCCTGGTGAATTATAGATACCCAAGAAAAGGAGTCACAGATAGTCTGTGCATTGAATCCAGCTTTTAAGTCATTTTTATCCAGCCTTGTAGTAACACTATCAACGTATTCGCGAAGGCTTTCACGGTAGGGATCTAATTGTTGTGGGTTTTTCGGGCTCTTTGGCCGTGTTCTGAAGGTTGTTCTTCCTAAT